GCCTTTCCAATGCCAAACTTGTAACAAAACGTTCGCATCAAAAAAATCGTTGTATATACACAAAAAGATACATACTGGTGAAAAGCCTTTCGAGTGTGAAATTTGCAAAAAGAAGTTTACAATGAAAGACACCCTGAAAAAGCACAACAGAGTGCACACTGGTGAGAAGCCTCACGAGTGTGAAATTTGCAAAAAGAAGTTTACATGGAAAGAGACCCTGAAAGAGCACAACAAGTTACACACTGGTGAGAGGCCTTTCGAGTGTGAAATTTGCAAAAAAAAGTTTACGAGGAAAGGGAAGTTGAACGAGCACAAAAAGATGCATACTGTTGAAAATCTTCACGAGTGTGACATTTGCAAAAAGAAGTTGATGACGAAATCGTACTTGAAATGGCACAAAAAGTTGCATACTGGCGAAAAACCTTTCGAGTGTGAAATTTGCAAAAAGAAGTTCACAATGAAAGGGAACTTCAACGAGCACAAAAAGGTGCATACTGGTGTAAAACCGAGTGTAAAGTCTTTCAAATGCGAAACTTGTAACAAAAAGTTTACCTGGAAAGCAAACTTGATTCAGCACAGAAAGGTACACACTGGTGTAGAACCGAGTGTAGAGTTATTCAAATGCGAAACTTGTGACAAAAAGTTTACCTGGCAAGCACACTTGCATCAGCACAAAAAGGTACATACTGGTGAAAAACCTTTTCAATGTAGCATTTGCCTTGGTAAATTTGCATACAAACATAACTTAGCTAAGCACATCCTTCTGCACAGCAATGAAAAAGCTTTTAAATGTGATATCTGCGACAAGAAATTCACCATCAAACAATATCTCGTCAATCACATTAGATATTTGCACTGTGGTGAAAAATCTGTCAGATGCATTGTTTGCTACAAAGGGTTTTCTCAGAAGGAAAGTCTGGTGAAACACATTTCCATACACAGTGATAGATATCAGTGCGAATTTTGCGACAGAACATTTGGTAGCGAACGTACTTTGATCAGACACAAAGCAATGCATACCGGCAAAAAACCTTACGAATGCAATGTTTGCCGTAAAACCTTCCACACCAGATCGAATCTGAGCAAGCACAATATTCTGCACTCTGGTAGAAAAACACACAAATGTGAGTTTTGCAGCAGGATGTTTTGTTTTGAGGGGAGTTTGAAAAGGCACAATTTGAAGTTTCATGTCGGTGAGGACAAAACACTCGAATCTGAAAAACTCACCACAGATCAAAGTTTGTTCAGACATAATATTCTGCACACCGGTGAGAAACTTCTAAAATCCGAAATTTCCTGTGAAGAGGATTCGTCTTTGGATATCGAATCTCACAAAGTGAAAAGTGAATTTGACAGTGATGTGGTCGAAAAGGAATGCAAGATCGAATTCGAATACAATGATCTACAATCCGACGTTCCAGAATTTGTTGAAATAAAACAAGAATATAATTGAAGGGTGTGAAAAGATGTCGACATCGAAACTCCCCAAATTTTGCTGGAAAGTGTGGCGTTCACATCACTGACGTGAACTACTATTCAGACCACTAATGCCATTAAAAATAAGAAGCCATATGCACTCACGACTTTTCGAGTTGGAGTTGGCGATCATAAATCATGCGTATTTAGGACTTGTCATATATTTCACCCACTTTCATTTCCCATGTTACCAAACACACCAGACATTACTCGCAAACATTTCTTTCATTAATCTTAAATCCCAAGAAACATTATACAGGGTGTTTCAGGAGAAGACTCACATAGCCAAATGGTTAATAGGGGAAGTCAAGACGAGTTGATGTATACAGGGTGATTCAGGTTTTAAGGCACAAACTGAAATGGAAGATAGATCTCATCATTTTAATCAAAAAAGTTTTCATAAACATTAGTCCGATCTCGTTCAATAGCGGAGCTACAGGGTGTCAAAGCTGAATTATTTCCTTCTATTAGTTGAAATATCTCGCTTACTTGTCAAGATATCATTTTGAAATTCGGTGTGGTCAATACTTTCTAAAAGATGATCATTTCAAGCCATCTAAAGATTTTCAAAATCTACAGGGTGATACGTTTATAGGGGTAGACGCTTCCTTATTCCCCCCAAACTTTTCCGTAATACGCCTCTGGCATCTTTCAGTGATCAAATTATGTGGATCGTTCAATTTGGAGGCTTTTTTTGCTCTTCAAGTTTTTTCGAGAAACGAACCGTTTTTCAGATAAATAAGCATATACGTTCTAAAACATGTTAATTTTGCCTGTTTCACTTAAATATTATTCAACTGAAAAAAAACCTTGACTTTTTGCCATCTGTATCCCCAATACTCATCCAGATTGAACTCGTGATTGCAATTTTAGTGAGTACATTTCATTGCATTTTCAACGAAAATAAAATGTAAGCGAAACATTGGCTAAATTAACATGTTTTAGAACGTATATGCTTATTTATCTCAAAACCGGTTTGTTTCTCGAAAAAAATGGAAGAGCGAAAAAGCCTGTAAATTAAACGAACCACACAATTTGATCACTGAAAGATGCCAGAGGCATACTACAAAAATGTTTGGGGGGAATAAAGATGCCTCTACCCCCAAAAACGTATCTCCCTGTAGATTTTAAAAATCTTTGAATGGCTTCAAATGATGATCTTCTAGAAAGTATTGACCACATCAAATTTCAAAACGATATCTTGAAAAGTAAGCGAGATATTTCAATTAATAGAAAAAAATAATTGAACTCTGACCCCCTGTAGCTCCACTAATAAACGAGATCGGACTTATGTTTAAATAATTTTTTTCTATCAAAATGATGAGATATATCTCCCATTTCAGTTTGTGCCTTAAAACCTGAATCATCCTGTATGTATATGTATATGAAAACATTTTTTGACCCTCCATAATACAGGGTATTATGTGAAATCGCTATATAACTTTGATGGCCGATATTACAGAAATGATTCATCGTAATGTGCTGAAATTTGGCAGCGACGTATCTAACTAACTAACTATTCAAGATGACATATTATGAAAAAAAATCCAGGTCCGGACTTGCGAAAATTTCATGTTTCATTGTTAAATGTCAAAAAAGTTCACTTTGTGACCACTTTTCTCTAGAAATTCTATCAGATTCAGAAATATCAGACGAAATGCTATAAGAACTGCTCTTCAATTTACACGGCACACTTTGACCGGTTCAATAAAAAAATATCATTCGAATGAATTTTAAATTTCAACCTGGCTGATAACTGTCAACTTTCAACTGGTATCATGTGAATTAATTTTTTCTACATTTTTGTTGAATATTAATTGACAGAAAGATAGACGAGAGGAAAAAACACGATATTTTTTTATCGAAATTCCAGATTGATATTAATCCTGACTTTGTTTTATGGGTGTCGCTAGAAGTAATGATAAGATATCTAGTAGGCCCTATTCTTCATTTGTGTGACGAGACGTGACGTTTGTTGATAATCTGAACTGATAGGTATAGGTACTAGGCTAGTACTAGGTAGGTACCAACTGATGAAATTACGACTTGCGGATTTATGTGCCCATATTATGGTGATTTATCAAATTAGTTATGCCATCATGCATAAACTTAGCTCCATTTTTTGTTATTGATACACTTCTGTGGGTGATAAAAGGAAGCATTTGCTATTTATTCATTCTCGTGAAGGTTTTACTGCAACATATTCTTGGGTTTGGAAATATTCTATAGTATTAAACATAGCATTTGGATTTTCGTCTTATTCAGCATTTGGAATACGTAGTGGCACCTAGAGTGCAAGAATATTTCTATTACCAGTGTTTACCTATCAACAAACGCCACGTTACATAAAATACAAACAGGACCTACTTTTTAACAAATTTATAAAATAGAGTCACGAGTTATCATATCTTTCTAGAAGTTCGGTCAAAAACTATCATGTCAAATCATGAAAAAATCAGAACTACTCTCTTCTGTCAATTTCTATCCAATGAAAATGTACAAAAAAATCAATTCACACGAACCTAGTTGAAAGTTGAGAGTTATCAGCCAGGTCGAAATTGAAAATTCACTCGAACGTTTTCGTTCCATATTTTTTTATTGAACCGGTCAAAGTGTGCCGTGTAAATTGAAGAGCAATTCTTGTTGCATTTTGTCTGATCTTCCTGAATCTGATGGAGTTTTTCGAGAAAAGTGGCCACAAAGTGAACTTTTTTGACATTGAAACATGACATTTTCCCAAGTCCGGACCTGGATATTTTTTTTCATAATATGTTATCTTGAATAGTTTCAGTAGAGATACGTCGCTACCAAATTTCAGCAGATTACGATGAATCATTTCTGTAATATCGGCCATCAAAGTTATATAGCGATTTCACATAATACCCTGTATCTCCGTTATGGAGGGTCAAAAAATGTTTTCATATACAGTGTGACCCACTTAAGACCGGAGCACCCTTATAAAATCTATAGTTTTTAACCAATTTCTTTTTTTTTTGTTTCAGCAGAAGAACTTTCCTGATATCTACGTTCACACAAATTTGCAAAATAAAATTTCAATCTACAGGGCATACTATATGTTATTTTTTTCATGTTAAAAATTGCGAAATATCATTAGCGATTTTTTTCGAACAAAATCGACCTCACCACTGAATTCAGCAGCCTTCAATTAGGTTGAGCGCAAAATTTCATCGAAAAATATCAATTGGCAACAAAGTTATAAAAACATTAATTTTACTCACCATTTTTTATGAATATTTCAGACAAATTCTGAGAAGCGGCAACATTGTCAACACAAATGTTGGAAATCATCAATAGGTTTCTGGTATACATTTGAATTGATAACACAAATTATTATCGAGTTATAACATCTAAAATGGAATTTATCTTGGTATTCATGGGAAGATTCATAAAATGAAAAATCCATAACGTCGAAAAATCGGCCTTGTTCATCCAAGTAATTAGTGTTAAAAAATCAGATAGTCTGTATAGTAAGATAATATCAGAAGCCAAAAACATCAAGAGTCTTCAGAAATTGATAATTAACTCATTATGAAAAGCTGTTTTTCCGACTTCATTACTTCATTCCAAAAGGGTACCATTCTAGAGATTATAACTTGATGATAATTTGTGTTATCAATTCAAATGTATACCAGAAACCTCGATGATTTCCAACATTTGTGTTGACAATGTTGCCGCTTCTCAGAATTTGTCTGAAATATTCATAAAAAATGGTGAGTAATCAAAATTAATGTTGTTATAACTTTGTTGCCAATTGATATTTTTCGATGAAATTCTGCGCTCAACCTAGTTGAAGGATGCTGAATTCAGCGGTGGGGTCGATTTTTCTTGAAAAAAATCGCTAATGATATTTCGCAATTTTTAACATGAAAAAAATAATATAGTATGCCCTGTAGATTGAAATTTTATTTTGAAAATTTGTGTAAACGTAGATCTCCGGATAGTCCTTCTGCTGAAACGAAAACAAAAGAAATCGGTCAAAAACTATAGATTTTATGAGGGGTTCTCCGGTCTTAAGTGGGTCACACTGTATATACTTCAACTCGTCTCGATTTCCCCTATTAACCATTTGGCTATGTGAGTCTCCTCATGAAACACCCTGTATATGTTTTTGCAGGGATATAACATAAAAAGTAAATATTTAATATGATTATGTTTATGTATTGTTACTGATAATTAATTAAAAATATGGATTACAGTCAAATAAATGAAGAGTTATGAGCAATTAATCGAATAACAACTTTGCTAACTGGAGGATTGATAGAGATGGTCCGGTTCTTTTGGCCACCAAAGTCTCCTGACCTAACGCCTATCGATTATCATCTCAGCGTACACATGGAAAGTCTAGTATATTCAAATAAACCAGAGATGAGCTAATTCAGAATATTATTACTGCAGCTGCATTCATACGAGTCGACCCAGATACTCTTCAGAGAGCAACTTTTTCAATGATCAGAAGAGAATAATTATGATATGAAGCAGCAAGGGGACATTTTGAACACAAACTTCAATTGATTTGGGGAAGCAATAAAAAAATTTTTAATTCATAAAATATTACATGACATCATCCAACATTTTCTTTGTTTCCTTCAACATATTTTGTTAGATATTCAAAATTGTTCATTACTATTCTCAACTATTGAGTTTTGGACGAACGTGTACAGGGCACAATTCGACTTGAAATCGTTCAAAAAATATGCTCTTGAGCTATATGGAGATCGAGTCACGGAACACCCTGTTTTTTTATTTTTTTTATCGCTTGGAGCGCACGAAAGGAAATCCCTATGATGTTCAAAGAACGTCGTGCGTTCCTAGGGAGGATAGGGACAGGAGGTAGGTATTGGAATTTTTTATGAACTTCTGGGGATTATAATATGTTGTTGGGAATACTTCCTCAGGCAATGAATTCCAGAGCCTAGCCGTTCTATGGATGGAGGAGTTTTGATAAAGTGCTGTTCG